TCTTGTATGTCCTGGCTCATTGCGTTTCGCCGATGGCGGCGACGCTGTCCGGGGCGTGGCTCTACTGTAGGGCACAATTCTCCCACGCATCGAGTCTGGACTAGCGAGTAGCCGGTGATGGGCGTTGATCTGTTGGTTCAAGCGATCTCATGATTCCCTCGAAGGATGTGGCCACCATAGGCCATTCCTTAGGCGAGCTCGCCATGGGCCACGTGCCTTTGGCTTCCTGGGTGGAAGTCTTGACTATGGCCGATGGCGAGAGAGGGTGCTGGTCCCCCATGTAGGTGAACTCTAGGATGCAGCCCCCAAGGGGAGTTTTGAGAGTATGTCCATCGTGGATCATGGGATCCAAACCTCCAAGGCGGAGGTTCGGGCCGCAACTGAAGATGGGTGCAGGCACTGGCCCTTTGGTGTCGTTAACCGTGTGGTTTCCCAAAAGGATGAGGCCGGTCAAGGCCATTCCCTGGGTGAGTTTGTTACGAGCCGTGGACCTTTGGTTTCTTGGACGTGAGACATGGCCATGGCCGGTGATGAGTGAGGGTGCTGGCCCCTCTGGGTAGGTGAACTCTAGGATGCAGCCCCCAAGGGTAGTTCTGAGAGTGTGTCCGTGGTGGGCCACGTATCCCAGATCTCCATGGTAGAGGTTTAGGCCATGGTTGTAGGCGGACACGGGCGCTGGCCCTTTGATGCCGGTGAACTCATAGTTTTTATGGTGGATGTGGCCGTCGGGGGCCATTTCACGAGCGAGTTCACCGATGGTGCGAGGAGCCATCTTTTCCTTCTCAACAATGAGAGTGCGCGATTATCTCCTACCTGGCGCGCCAACTGTCGATGTTTTGTAAACCAGACTAGTAAACGTATATGATTGCCGCGCTGCTCTAGGAAGACGATGGTAGCATCCAAAATACATGATGATTTATACTAGTTCAGGCCAAAGCCCTATGTCCAGTCTAAGATATGATCGAGTGCGTGTTCCTCGCTTGAATGCTCTAAAGTTCTTACAATAGGGGGTGCAAGAATGATAGAAGAGGTAGAAGAACCTAAGCTAGGCGGTGGGCTACCCATAGGGAGGCTCTAGGAGCCCTACTACTATGGAGAATGAATGAAAATGGTAGAGGATGGATCCGTCCCTGGAAAGGGTGCCCTGGCTGCCCTTATATAGAGTTTGGGGCTAGGGCGCATAAAAAGCAATAGGTTCTATCGATCGAAGGGTCGTGAGCCTGAGGGAGGTCCTAGCTAACTTGGCTTGCAAGCTATGCCATCTTGCGAGGTGCGTCCGAACGTGGCTGTCGTCATGGTCTTATGGCCACGTCATGGCATAGTGTGGTGGGGTGCTACTGTGTCGGCAGTGGCGGCACTGTAGGCACAATGGTGGTTCGCTAGCCGTTCTATGCGACATGGTCTCCGCCATGGTTCTCGTCATCTCTCCTGGTTTCCTAGGGCATCGTACAGGAGTTGGTAGCCGCCCATAGGTCGTTGATCGTCTTGTCATCTTGAGGAGGGGGGGCCACGATCCCTATCATTGGGGTTGTGGTTCTCGCCAGCCTAGATGGCCTCTAGGTCAAGGCTCTCGTTGTGGATCTCATCCCGTAGCAGGTAAGATCGTACTCTTGTCTCATTGGGCTGTATCTGTCCGGTGGTCATCGTACCTATCATCACCGCTTTGGGTAGTATTGTCTTGCTCTGCGCGACATGGCACAGGAATGGCGTCTGACCGGACCGAGGTGACTGTTGTCCCCTTGGTCCCCACGGGGCAAGTGCGACAAGCATGTTCATGTTAGAGTAGGCACACTTGGCTACGCTCGACCTCTCCCCGTTCCTTCTAGGGGTCGTGATGGGGGAGAGGTCGTGTGTCTTTCCAGCGCTGTGTAGCTAAGGCATGAAGGAGGGGTCGTGGCTATCCCTAGCCTTGGCGTCTGGCCTAGTTCACTTGGCTTACCTAGGCCTTAGTCGTTCGGACTTTCGCTAGCTAGTGTATTGCGGGTCATGTGGCCTACTAACTAATCGGTGTCTTGAGACACCCCGGGGTTATAACCTCGACAGTAGCCCCCGAGCATTTTTACGATCATGAAGTGATCGTGAAAGCACTGAGATGCGTGTGCGTTGAGCATGGGTTCATAGTCATGGCTTATTCGAGCTTCATCGCTCGATCTCTTGCGGGCTGGTGTGTTCAATACGGTGGGTGGCCATTGTGCCTTTGCCCCATCAGGACGCCCTGACGAGGTGGTACGTGACTGTTGAGCCCTGCCGTGTCAGTGTGTTGTGTATCGGGGTTCGTCGATGCTGTATTGGCCCTGCCTTTTGGAGGGTCTCAATTTCCTCGACCTCACGCGGACATCTGACATTAATTGTGACCTCCCTTGGTTCGCCACGTGGCATGGGGGTCTCAGTCTGCTCGGTCTACCCTTGGGCCTATAAATAGAGGTGTTCCTTTCATTTGAACCACTCATGGCTGTGTCCACAAATCATTCCCTTCCTTCCTGCTGAGAGAGCGAAGAGAACCACGTGGCTCCTATCATATGTCCCTCTGAGGGTTGTCTGTGGTGGCCAGAGCCGGTGTCGCCCTTTCAACAACTGGTGCTAGAAGGGAATTTACGAGCAGAGAGGCGAGAGGTGGCGAAGATGTCAGTTCCTCGTGAAATCATTGGGAACCTAACATCTTCTCCTGCTGGCCTCGGGTCCCGGACCTAGGGTGTTAGGGCAGGACTAGGTCGTGTTTCATCCTCTGGTCTAGTTTTGCCGAAAGGGTACTTTTCCCACAATTTTTCGAGGAGTTGTTCCCCCGATCTCTCTTCTGCGCGGTCGCGAGGGTTTTTGCGATCGTGCACCGGCTCATAAGTCTTGGACCTTATGTTTTCTTCCACGTGACCGAGCCGTGATCACGCTTTGGGCTTCACATTGTCATGTTACCTCGGCCATCACAAAATGATGCTAATCTTGATCTTGTTTGCACACTTCTTGAGATATCACCACTAATAGAGTCATATGGATGATCTCTTGCAACATTGATTGGTTGGAGCACTTGAACTTGATTGCTTACACTTGGTTGATCATTTGGTTGAGATGATGTACTAGACACTTATTATTGATCTTGCACTTTGTCATCACTTGCACTAGCTTGATTTTGATATGAGAACCACTAGCTTGCACATTTGAGTTAGAGAGCACTTGATCTTTGTCATCTTCAACTTCAATCACCTCTCTAGGTCTTATATCATCAACATCCATGTTCTTTATTGCATTGATCAATTGAGTGCCTTTCACATCATCTAGATTTTTATCTTCCTCTTGGGAACCATTGGTTTCATCAAGTTCCACATCATGCACCTCCTCAAGAGTACCACTAGCCAAATTTCAAACTCTATAACCCTTGCTAATAGTGGAGTAACCGAGCAAGAAGCTTTCATCACACTTCTCAAACTTGCTCAATCTAGTGTCTTTCTTCAAGAGATATATCATTTGCACCTAAAGACTTAAAAAATGTAATGTTGGGCTTTTTTCCATTCAATAGCTCATATGGTGTCTTCTTCATCATTGGGTGACAAATAGAGTCGGTTGCTATATTAGCAAGCCGTGTTGATTGCTTCGGCCCAAAATGAATGACTCATATTGTACTCACTCAACATTGATCTTGCCATGTCAATCAAGATTCTATTCTTTCTCTCAACAAGATCATTTGATTGTGGAGTGTACTTGGCGAGAATTGATGCATAATTTTAAACTCATCACATAGCTCATCAATTCTAATATTCTTGAATTTACTATCATTGTCACATCTCACTTTTTTATGGTTGTTTTAAACTCATTGTGTATTCTCTTGATGAATGTCTTGAAGATTACAAACATATCACTCTTATCAACAAGAAAGATTACTCATATGTATCTTATAAAATCATCCACTATCACAAATTCATATTTGTTTCTACCATTGCTAACATATGTGGTTGGTCCAAATAAGTCTATGTGTAACAACTTAGGAGGTGTTTGGTTTCCATGGACTAAAGCATTTTGGACTAAAATCTGCACTTTACTTGGACTAAACAGCCAAACACTTGGACTAAAAGTGGACTAAAGTTCTTTAGTCCACAAAACTAGACTAAAATGGACTAAAATGTGTTGGGGATATCTATGTCCCTCATTTATTGTCCTCTCTCTCCAGGGTAAAAGAGTGGGTAAAATAATCTTTCTTCCACATCATTTAATGACTTTAGTCTATTTTAATTTAAGAAATCAAACACCACTTTAATTCACTTTTAGTTTATGAACTAAAATGGATTAAAACTTTAATATGTGGACTAGAGAACAAACAGACCCTTAAACACCTTAGATGTACTCATCGTATTCTCGGTAGAATATGTGTTACCAACTTTCTTGACACCTCTGTCCGAACTTTTCTCATTTATCTATTCCGGCATTGACGCGTTGGCATGAAATGAAGGCATCGTACCAAGGTCCGAACTCTGAAATATCCGCAGTGGTGGCGTAGGTTCATTGCACTGGCCTTAGATTGTCTGGCCGTAAGGATGGGGAGATTCAACGTAGTACAGTACTACGTACTCCGTACGTCGAAAGTCCCTTTCCCTGCTTCCTTGGCACGAACCAAGACATGTATTGATGTTACTGCTACTGTAGTACAGTAGCCTAGCCTAGTACTAACCGCTGGTAGTATCCATCCACCAGCAAAAAATAATGTACACTCCTACTCAGGTGTTAGTGGACTAGTGGTACGCTAGCTATGGCCTTGAGCTCGAATCCTGCAACAGGAGTCGAGTTTTTCTTTTAAGTGCAAGACAATCTTCAACTGACTCTACAGATATTCACAGTCTACTTGGACTGTCTCCAACCATGAGACCTAAATCCAATACACATTCTCTAGTTTAGGTGATATACAGTAGAAAGGCTCCAGTATCTAAAATTGAGATTCTCCAACAGGCCACGCAAATTAGTCCTTTTCTTCCTCAGTCTGTCCGCCGCCCACCCATCTCCAAGTTTGTGGCGCCTCACACCTCCGGCGCCTGCCTGGTGGCGAGCCCCATGTCGAAGACGGAGCAACCGGCCCTGGTGAGCCCCGCGAAGAGCGCCGCGCCGAGCCGCGGGCCCGACAGCCGAGGGTCGTGGCCGACGGACACCCGCAGCTGATGGGGCTCCTGCAACTCGCCCCGGAGCCGGATCTCCTCACGCAGCCACTCCCCGAAGCTCTCGGCGATGACCTCGACCGGCAGCGGCGTCAGGCAAAAGAAGAGCCACGAGCACGGAGCTCCTCCTCGTGTACCTCCTCCCGCTCTCCGCATTTCCCCCCAATCTAGATCTCGCTCGACACTGGTGGCGGCACCCCCTCCCTCCGCTTCACCTCCCAGCTGCGGGATGGCCTATCACCGCATCCTCTCCAAATCTGCGGCAGTGAGGGCATGGGCGGACGGCGGGGCCTTTCCTCCTCCGCGCGCGGCGGCCATGGCGCGTCGTCCGGTGGAGGGCGAGATCATGCTTGGGCGGGCCCCCGGATCAAGCGACGGCGGCTCCCCAAGCTCAGCTGCGTGGCGGCGGCTCCCGAAGCTCGCGCCCGGCGGCGGACCCCGGCGCTCTCCTTCGTCAACTCCTCCTGCGGCGGCCCGCCTCCTCCACTCCACTCCTCCCCGAATCCGCCACGCCGCGCCGCTCCGGGAGCTCCTCGCCTCGAGCCCGCCTCGCCCCGCCGGCCGCGCTCCGCCGCGGACCGCCTCGCCGAGTCGAGCTGGCCGCGCCCTGGTTTGCGTCCTCTCTCTTCGAAGACGCAGAATTGCATAGCGACTCGCCGAGTACGCAGAATGCGTATCCGGTTTCGGTCTTCCGTTGGAGTGTGGATTTGGGACCCAAAACTACTGTGCATGACGCATTTTGTGTTTGCGTCACGTCGTTGGAGACAGTCTTATGGGCTCAAATTACAATCAACTATTTTTTCTCATATTTTTTTAATTCTTGTACTTTAGCTAGTTATAACCCTTTTTTAAAATCGAAGGACTGAGCCAGCACCTCCAAAGGACTGAGACGTTAGATCTTGAGATTTACAAAATCACCACAGACGTCTCGCTGTCGTCTGTCGACGGGATGTCGCCTACCACTGAAAGTGGCGTTAAATCCTGAAATAAAAATCCAGAAAAATGCGAGCAACCATGCCAAGTTGAGGACTTAAACCCGGGTAGCCAGATTCCACCACGAGAAACACAACCAACTAATCAATGATCACTTCGCTAGCTAGTTGTAGTCTACGGGCGCGTTTGGCCGGGCTCCCGCCGGCTCTGGCTCCCACACTGTAGCGCAACTGTAGCACGCAGGAGCTAGAGCCGAAGGAGAAAAAAACGAGCTTCTTCGGCTCCGGCGCTGTCAGTGAGAGAGGAAAGGAGGAGAGAGAAAAACAGCTCCGGTGAACAGTGTCGCTACAGGAGATGGATAGGGGAGGAGTCAGAGAGCCGGAGCCGCTCGGAGCCCGGCCAAACGGGCTCTACCTCTCTTCTCTCTCCTCCTCACCCCCCTCCACCTCAACATACAGGAGTTAAGTTTGAGTTCCTAGGCCAGTTCTTACCAAGACATCAAGTACGTACAGTTCGACTTAGGCCCCATTACGTACGACTTTTTCACCGGCTCTAGAAGCGTTGTTTGGAGTTTTTTTTTCAAATAAGGTAAAAATGAAACAGCTCCATTTGAGGAGTTTCTTTAAAACTTGTTCTCACAAGGGGTGGATAAGAGATGAAGCTGAAAATAGTAGCTTATTTCAACTCTCACTCGCTCTGTTAGACCATGCATGCAGGGACGGAGCTAGAATTTGACCATAGGGGGCATTTTGGTATATGAATAATAACCACACATGATAAAAAATGCGTGTACATACACATATAAGTATATTGAGTTAGAAGAGTATAAATAATAACCAAATCAATATTTGTTTTGCGATGCAAAAGAAAGTTAAAAGTCTAAAATGATACTGAAAATTATGGCAAAAGGAAAAAATTAAATAGCCCTAAGTCTCTAATCTGTACCCAACTAGTATAATTCATAGAAAAAATCATTGTAATAATGGGAATAAAAGAGAGGGGAAAGATAAGGCACTAATAATTAACGTCCTAACTAGCTAATTACTCGTATATTATGCAGATCAACTAAGATATTGTATAGGAACAACTACAACAATAATAATAAGAACAAAATAGAGGGAGAAGATAACATAAATATTAGACATAAATCTTATAGATATCAATAAAAACTAACACAAAGAAGTAAATAAATACAACACTAATTAGTAATTTTTATTAGCTAATTAAGGGGTTATATAGTGGGGCACTAGGGAGGTTTTGGGGGGGGGGCCTGGCCCCTTCCCTCTGCCCCTGCATGCATGCACATGTAGAGATATTTTTAAAATAGTTTTATCTCCATTGATAGAGCTGCTCGTTGAGAAAAAAATGATTTTATTATTGAAGTAGAGTAGTGCCAAACATAGGACATGCGATGAGGTGGGACGAGGTTAAAAAAATCTGTACACTCCGAATCTAGTTAGATGCCACAGTCCAAATCAAAAGCAAGCCTTCGAACTCAAAACTTCGCTTCAATATCGTCCATTTATTTAGTTCAAAGCTCTCACGTGCAAGAAGCCAATTACGCAAGCCGATGTCCAAGCGATCGACCAAGCCCAATTTGATAATGTGAAGCACACTTTTTAGATGGACTTTTTAGATGGACATCGTGACGTACTAGAACAAGTGCGCCAGTACGGTACTCTATGGGTTCCAAATTATAAGTTACTTTAATTTTTTAATACATCTATTTTATTATGTATTTAGATATAATAATATGTCTAGATATATAACAAAATAAATAAATAAAAAGTCAAAAGCGACTTATAATTTAAAATAAAGGTAGTACATTATTTTTTTAATGCTACATTGAGACGTAAGCACAAACGTCGCAAATCCGTTTCTTCAATCGTAAAAAAAACTGTGCGCTTTTTTCATGCTGAATTGCATCTAATCTAATACTATAAGAGGCTGTTTGGATTCTTTTGTTTTGGATGAATTAAAATCTACCTAATGAATTAGACTATTTAGCTTGGAATTTGATATTCCATAACTTTCTCAAGCTCACAAATAAGTCTATCTTAAATTTATAGGATGGAAGATAAAAATAGATTCTATAGATCACTATGCTATAATTCTACTTTTTAACTTATAGCACACTCCTCAATCACTTCTCTACGATAGAAATACAACATAAAAGTATGTCACATGTATGCCTAGCAATAAATATACAAATATATTCTATATACAACTATATTAGCTTAATTAATCTATATCTAAATTATAATTATCAGAAAAAATTCGATTCTAAGCATCCAAACGGACTCTAAGACACGTTGGACCGGGCGTCCGAGGGACGTTTGGCACGGCTTCAACATTAACTTTCATGAGTGTGCTTTATAGCTTTTACCAGCCAAACGCTTTTTTCGCGTAACTGTTTCACCATGAAGCTGCGGATTTCCCATTTGAGAGGAGAGAGAAAAGAGAGAAGCTTTTTTTTTAAAATAAAAAATAGCTTCACCTGGCTTTGCATGCTCCCGTGAGACCCTTGCGTGAGGGTGGGCGGATTTGCCAGCTGGGGGCGTTCTGTTCAGCAAAGAAGAGAAAATGTTTATGAAACGTGGTTCTAAACAACAGCGACTTCACTAGCAGAGTCACTCATGTAACTAAAGCCGACAAAATTATTAGACCAGTACGAAACGTTGTTCTAAAACAGTAGCAACTTCACTGACAGAGCCGCTCATGCAACCGAAGCCGATAAAAATTGTTAGGCCATTACGAAACGTTGTTCTAAAACAGTAGCAACTTCACTGGTAGAGCCGCTCATGCAACCAAAGTCGACAAAAATTGTTAAGGGCCTGTTTGGTTCCTTCCCCTCCTCCTAAAATTCCTGTCACATCGAATGTTTGACACATGCATGGAGTATTAAATATAGACTAATTACGAAACTAATTGCATAACTTGCGATTAATTTGCGAGACGAATCTTTTAAGCCTAATTAGTCCATGATTTGACAACGTGGTGCTACAGTAAACATGTGCTAATGATAGATTAATTAGGATTAAAAAATCCGTCTCGGAAATTAGCCTCCATCTATGTAATTGGTTTTGTAATTAATTTATATTTAATGCTCCTTATTAGCCTCTAAACATTTAATGTGACATAAATTTTAGGAGCGACTAAAGAACCAAACACCCCATAAGTCACTATGAAACGTTGCTCTAAAAAAGTAGCAACTTCACTGACAGAGCCGCTCATGCAACCAAAGTCGACAAAAATTATTAGGCCATTACGAAACGTTATTCTAAAACAGTAGCAACTTCACTGGAAGAGACGCTCATGCAACAAAAGCCGACAAAAATTATTAGGCCATTATGAAACATTGTTCTAAAACAATAGCAAATTCACTGACAGAGCCGCTAATGCAGCGAAGCCGACAAAAAATGTTTAGACCCCTCATTAGGCAACTAGAAATTCACAGTGACTGACCGTTTAGGCCCACTTCCAGTCGCCCACGACCGCAACGGCTCAGGTTCAGGTCCAAGTCCAACATGATGCGGCCAGTCGGCCAGACGCCATCAGCGTGTTCGGCTGGGGCTGGCTGGGCTGGCTAGCCTCCTCACATGAACACGGTTCATATAAATTAGCCAGCAGTACTTCTCTCTCACGTAAACGAATCAGCTAACGATACGATACAGCCAACCGAAAACCAGCCGGCCCTCGCGGGCACGTGCCCGTCCTCCCGTCCCGATGGCAACAGCACCCACCGGCCACCGTCTCCGGCCGGTTCCCCGTCCAGGTTCTTCCTCCTTGGCCCGATCCCCTATTTCGGCTATTCCCATCGACCACATCTCACACGACCACATCACACCACGCCACACCACCACCAACCCTTCCCTTCATCAATTGGAGCACGGCGCCCACTCATTCCCCTCTCCTCTCCTCAGCTGCGTGCCTCCGACAACACCGATTCCACCGCGTCATCTCGTGCTTCCCAATTCCCATAGCCCCTGTTGATCCCCAAAGGTCCATGGTTTCCTCCGCCGCCGCGTCGCCTCTCGTAGCCACCGCCGCTGACTCTGCTTCCTCCTGCGTCGCCCACCTCCGCTGCTGCTCCTGTCGCGTTGGTTGTTGCTGTTGTTGTTGAAGACGCGTAGCTCTCTAGGGTTCGTTACTTCTCGCCGATCGATTCGGGAATTGGTAAGCTATGGATCTCTCGCGGCCCGCATCGTCGGACCTCTCGCTCGGGCTCCACTCTCACGGTCACACCCACGCCCACGCCCACGCCGCTCGCGTGCACGCGGTAGCCGCGCCGCTGCGCCTGTTCGACGACGCGGAAGACGCGAAGCCGGAGCGCGTCGTGGCCGGGGAAGCCGACGCGGAGAGGGATGACGACGACGGGGGCGACCAGCACTTCTCCCTCCTCGGGCACTCCCTCTGCGTCAAGCGCCCGCGCCGCGCCGTCAACGGCGGTGGGGGCGGGGACGGAGAGACGTCATCCTGCTCGTCCACGTCCGCGGCGCTGCGCCCCGCCAAGCGGCAGGCGACGGGGGAGGGCAGCGCCGCGGATCTGGAGACCCGCCGCGCCGCGGTCCGCGCCTGGGGCAACCAGTCGCTGGCGGAGGCCGACCCGGATGTGCACGCGCTGATGGAGCAGGAGCTGGACCGCCAGGTGCGAGGCATCGAGCTCATAGCGTCGGAGAACTTCGTCTGCCGCGCGGTGCTCGACGCGCTCGGCAGCCACCTCACCAACAAGTACTCCGAGGGGGCCCCGGGTGCTCGCTACTACGGCGGGAATCAGCACATCGACGCCATCGAGCGGCTCTGCCATGAGCGCGCCCTCACTGCCTTTGGTCTCGACCCTGCCTGCTGGGGCGTCAACGTGCAGCCCTACTCGTGCACGTCTGCCAATTTGGCTGTCTACACTGGGCTCCTTCAACCCAAGGACCGCATCATGGGGCTGGAGCCACCGTCGGGTGGCCATGTTAGCCATGGTTACTACACGCCCAGTGGTAAGAAGGTGTCAGGTGCCTCTATTTTCTTCGAGAGCATGTCGTACAAGGTGAACCCACAGACTGGGTATATTGATTACGACAAGCTCGAGGAGAGAGCAATGGATTTCCACCCGAAAATTCTCATCTGTGGTGGGAGCTCTTACCCCAGAGAGTGGGACTTCGCACGGATGAGATTGATCGCTGATAAGTGTGGTGCAGTGCTTCTTTGCGACATGGCACATATCAGTGGGCTTGTTGCAGCAAAGGTACATATCTACGTTGAAGCATTTATTTTTATCTTACAGTTAGTTTATTGTATCCTGCTTAACAATGTGCGCAAGAGTAATACGAGGACATCTTAGGTCCACATTTTGATCTTACAGTTACTATGACTGTATACTGCTTAGCATCGAACGGAATTGTACCTCCTAGTGTTGTATACTTGTATGGACTAGGATTGCAGTTACCAGCTACCGTTGTGTTCATATGTCCAAAGGTCAGAAGGCTTTTGTTGCCATTTAGGTTACCATTTCATGCATTTAATTTGACTGTATCTTGCTAAACAATTTGGTTGAATGGTATAGTCTTACGAGCCGTTTGGTTCAGTAGCTGTAACGTAAATGGCAACAGTAATGATTCACATTCGATTGGGAGCGGTAACAAGTTTGAATAGACCGGTATCAGTTCCCAGCGTGATCTGGCGTTACGGCTGGACTTAAACAAACATTATTTAGGGGGTGTTTGGTTACGGGCCACGGCCAGCCACGCCGTAGGTTCGGCAGCACCACACCCGTGTGGTGAGAAGAATGGCCGCCACACGCCACACCTATGCGACAGACAAAACGACAAGCTAGGGAGGAAAACGACAGCTGTGGCAGCCAAAGTTTACACGGCAACCAAGCAGCTGCCAAAGTTGCTGAACTTTTGGCGTGGCAAGTTGCGGCGTGCAACCAAACACGCCCTTAATGTCATCTGTTACCCATGTAATCGAGTCACGTTACAAATACGTCAACCAAACAGCACCTTAGAGATACCTCTCATCCTAGTACTTTATTACCCTCTAGAAGATTTTTGTCAAAAGCTAGAGTTTGTTTTGTTGATTATTTTGACTAGAAGTAAATCCTACTGTTAAAACCTTGAAGCTTGATAAAGATCGCAGAGCACAGCATTCATTTTCTTTTGGTCCATAAATTATTCGTTGAACTACCTTGGAAGATTTAAAACACAAACTTCCTATGTCGAATGGATGTTACTATATTGGTCTTTCACCCTGACAAAATATTTAAGTCACTGTGATGGAAGTTAGTACTGATTCTAGGACTTCCATTTTTTCCCTTGTCCAAGGTTGTTGCTACCTTATTCATCAGGAATTTTAAACCACTAAATGCATGATCGATCATGATACCTGGTCAATTGGTTAGGTTGGCACTGTAGCCTGAATTTGATGTTTGAGTGCATAAAGTAACATTTCCATTTGAATTTGGTCCTGAGTTTGGTTTTAGCACCTGATGTCAGCTGAATGTGAATTAAGGCAGTGTGCTTGGCCAATCCTCAGTTTACCTGAACGATGAAGATGCTTTATATGGCTAGTATCCATTGTTGTGTTTTGTCTATGATGGAAACTTCCTTGTAATTGTAAATGATTATCTAAGGTGTTTTTGAATTTGCTTACCATAGTGATGAATCATGATTCACATGCTTGTTACTTCTCAGTGCAATGAGAAACCTAACCCAATTCTTTGTGCCTCAGTAAGTTAATAGAGAGTCACATCTTTTGTTTATGCAACTCCCTTTTATAACTAAGAATGTTGCATCTGTAATAAGCATTTTGTTTTGCTTTAGCATATCAGATACTAGGAGGATACCCCCGCGTTGCTGCGGGGATCATGGATGATTTGGAATGAAATTAGATGACTTAAAACTTAAAAGGGATAAATTATTATTAATGATTTCTAGTGGATGGTGTGGTATGCTGTCGTGGCAAATAAATGCATGTTTGTGGATATTGTGGCTTGTTGGCATGGATAGTTTGCATGAATAGAAAGATGTCATAATTGCATGTACTCGTGGGCTCTTGATGTGGATGGCTTGCATGTTAAGATAGAAGGCTAGTGGGGTTTATGATTATAAAATATATAGAAATATAGAAATAGATATAGGTATATAGATTGCTTATATTTCTATTATTCTTATTGCTTGTAGTTGTAGCTCCAAACAAGGTTGAGAAATACCATATGTGGTTATTCAAATATTTGGATCTTGATCTCCTTACAGATCTTGTTCGGTTAGCTAGGAATCTACCCAGGAATCGTTCTAGCTCATCAAACGTTATATAAATTAGCCAAGATTCCTGGTAGGAATTGTTCCAGGGCATGGTTCCTGGGTAACCGAACGATGCCTTAGGCTGCAAGAACCATCGTCCAATGAAACTAATTGAATCGAACTCCTCCCTCTTAACACACACTTGAGTACTTAACCTCTCTCAGGCACTCTTGCATGTTCCTGAAAGAGCTTAAGTGAAAGTGTTCCCTTGTTGACTGTAGCATGCTACTTATGGTTGTTCCATGTGATGCAAATCATGCTCGTATTGAAGAAAACATTTAATGTCTGTATTATTGCCACACATACACACACTACCTACATACACATGAAAGTGCATAAGTGAAAAGTGTTCCCTTGTTGACTGTAACATGTCATTTGTGGTTGTTCCAGGTGATGTAAATCGTGTTCACTTGAATAAACCATTCAACTTTGTGTATTATGGTCCTTCGTACACCATGTTGATTTTAAACTTTTATTGCAGCCATCCTAAATCCTAAATTCATGTTTGGTTGGGTGATATATACACTAGTTTAATGCTTTGATGTCCTTCATATGGTATATAGATTGTTTGCCCTTTCTGTTTTTGTATGGTTGTATTAGAGACCATAGACTGATCATTGAGGATAACTGTCTGCTGATAATGGAGTACTGTGCCTTTGTAGGAATGCCGTAGCCCTTTCGATTACTGTGATGTTGTTACGTCAACTACTCACAAGAATCTTAGGGGCCCTAGAGGTGGTATAATATTCTTCAGGAAAGGGAAAAATTTAAGGAAACGAGCTGGATCATTTTCTCAAGGAGATGAGAATGAATACGACTTCGAGGATAGGATAAATTTTGGTGTTTTTCCTTCGCTGCAAGGAGGACCCCATAATAATCATATTGCTGCCTTGGCTATAACTCTGAAGCAGGTAGCAACTCCTGAATATAAAGCATACATTCAACAAGTCAAGAAAAATGCTCAGGCTTTGGCATCAGCTTTGCTTAGAAGAAAATGCAGATTGGTTACTGGGGGCACAGATAATCACTTAGTACTTTGGGACCTCAGAACTCTTGGCTTGACAGGTATTAATTCTGCTTCCTCTGTGCCTACCCTTTGAAATGTTTACCTTCGTATAAATGTTTGTACCTTTTATCTTTCTTGTGCACTTTTAGTTTATATATATTATATGTGAAGGGCTGGTGCGTATTGGTTATGATGTCATTCTTTAATTTTGGACAGGTAAGATCTTCGAGAAAGTCTGTGAGGCATGCCACATATCTATCAACAAGACACCAATTTATGGGGATAACGGCTCGATATCGCCTGGTGGTGTGCGGATTGGTTAGTTCTTTCAACTCATATCTCTATTCTTTTTAGCCTTTTGTTCCTCTCTCCTTATATAAATGCAGAACTGTCAGTACTGATCAGCTTGATATCATGTTGCTATAGGAACACCCGCAATGACTACTAGAGGTTGCTTAGAAGAGGACTTCGACGTGATTGCAGACTTCCTCATAAGGGCTACTCAGATTGCTAGCAATGTTCTGAAAGAACATGGCAAAGTGCAAAAGGAGTTTCTAAGAGGCCTACAGAACAATAAGGATATTATAGAACTCCGAAATCAGGTTGAGGCATTTGCGTCACAGTTTGCGATGCCAGGTTTTGATGTTTGAATGTGCATATATTAGTCAGCAATTATCCAGATTCACAGCAACATCGCCATCCCTTCAGTTCCTCCAATACTAGCAACTATTGCTTTCAACTGCACAATGATTAGGAGAGTTTTATTTATTAGTTGGTAGACGGTCCTGACTCTTGATTCAAAAAATTATGTACAGCAAGTTGTGATGAGTTATGTATGTTAACCTTGGTATGACGGGGTACTATAGGAGATATTTTCTTGTCACTGCATCAGAATCTTTTGTTGCCTTTTGATACCTTTTGTTGCCGAGGCTGAATAAGCTTTAACCATATGATTTCTGGCTAACTATTAAACGATCGGATGTGGTAAATTGTATTGGGGCGTACAACCAGTTTCGTAAGTTTGCAAACCCATCGAGAATCAAGTGTTCATGGCTTGTCGCATCAACTATTAAGATGGGACACTGTTCAGATTTTTCTGCTTTATTGTTCTTGCTTTCACGTCGGTCGGTTTATCCCTTTTTCAGATCCCACTTACGTGGAGCCTCTGACACTGTGTTTGCTCTTTTATTGTTCTTGCTTTCGTGGCCTTGTTGGATGCTCTGTCCACTAGCACAGGGACGGTTTGTTTGTACTGGTGGTAGAGTTTGATATTTACTGACGGTGATTTCGTTCGCCTATGTGAAGGTATTTACGCTGGCGCCACTTTAAAAACTGTCATTTACACTGGCGCCACTTTTAAAACTGTCAGTACAAATCTATGTTCAAGGTAATGTGGAAATCAATTTGTACTAGGTAGTATTTCAGCGGCCAGCGATTTTTTTTTCACATATAGAAATATGTCATCCGCTAGTGAAAAATATTTTCACATACAATTTCTAGCCAATTGATTTTTTTCCATTTTCTCATATTTGAACCATCATTTGTTTGCAGAAATTTCATATACCTCGTACCAAGTAACAGGAAGTATGTCGTAAAGTTTTTTATTTAGCTGTGTACTTCATCCATTTTAAATTATAAGTCGTTTTAGCTTTTCTAGATAAATTGTTTTTACAACATATTTAGATTAATGTATTCTAAGTACATAACAAAAATTACATATACATAGAAAAATCAAAAGGTCTTATAGTTTGAAATGGAGAGCGTACGTTAGATGGATTGTTAAAAAATCTAGTCATAGGAACTATGCCAATTTTAGTGTGTATATTTCGTAATAGATTGTTCTGTTCGCAAAGATGTAGCTGCAGCTTCCAACCCTAGCACCGCCACCACCGATTTCCCCTCCGCCAACCACCATACGAGTTGTTTCCTATCCCTAAATAAGGGCGTGTTTGGCAAGGCTCCTTCGGGCTCCGGCTCAGCTCCACACTAACGGAGAAGCTGGAGCCGGAGGAGCCACGAATCGTGGCTTCTCCTAGCTCCCAGTTCATTTTAACAGGAGAGAGAAAATGGCTCCTATGAACAGTGTCTCAAGAAAAAGTATTGTGACTTAGATGAAAAGCACAAAGAACTTGAGCTGTAATGTAACATTCTTTGGGATAGTAACCCACTTCCCTCTAAGGCAAAGGATGCCTCTACTACCTCCACTAGTCAAGGTTGTGGAAAATGTTATAATATTGATTTGAATGCTTATTCCACTAACCTTACAAACATGGAAGTAATGAGAAAAAAAATTGCTAGACTCAATGAGATCATTGGCAAGGGCTGCTTCAGTGGTAAGGCTCAAGTAAGTGACAAGAAGACAAATGATTCAAAAGTGCCTCAATTCAAGTAAGGGAGACACCCCTCAATCAAGCATGGGCTTGGGCACACTACAGGAGCCAAGACAAACATAAGAAAGATCATAAATGGCTATGAGTATGTCAAGTTTGAGAGGAAGGAAAGAGTTGGTATAGATCAGCCTGCACAGATAGCGGCAGTGCCGCAATGAAGGCCGGCTGTGCCGCTCCCCACAAAAATAGATGAAGGGACCGTGACGCCTAAGAGGGGAGGTGAATTAGGCAACTTAAAATTCTTACTCTAAACTATGGCCTCTTTTTCTAACCCTAGCAAAACCTATATAATAGATAAGCTATCTAGATGTGCAACTATGGTTTTGCTAGTGTGTTGCTATCTCTACCGCAAACGTAGTAAAGTAATCAATGTAAATGCGGAAGCTAAAGAGCAAGGTAGAGATATGCAAACTCCCATCGACGACTCCGGTATTTTTACCGAGGTATCGAGAAGCGCGCAAGCTTCCCCCTAGTCCTCGTTGGAGCCCCTCGCAAGGAATCCCTCGCAAGGGCCAAGCTCCCGGTCGGGTAACTCCGTGGATAGCCTCGGGCCTTCCCCATGTGCAAGTGGGTCTCCGATGTGCCTCTCGGCAAGCCTCTCCCGGATGTTCCCCGCCGTCTTTCACTATCAAGCTTCCGGCCGAAACGCCGCGGGCCTTGTTCCCTCCAGTACACGGTGGCAGCCACACCACAAACGCGGTTGGTGTGATCTCGCAAGACTTCAAGCCCCTCCGATGTACAACACTTGTGCTCACAAGCACGGGGTGACAAGAGATATGCAAACCTCACTTAAACACTAGGCAAACACCTAGAGCAAGCGCATAAGCGGTGGTCTAATCAACCTAAGCACTTCGCAAAGCACTTATGCTAATCACCTAATAAAACACTAAGCACTATGCATGTAGAGATCACTCAAATGGTGTATCAACACTCTTGGTATGTTTCCTCAGCTCCACACACCTCAAATGGTCGGTTGGGGCTGTATTTATAAGCCCACTGAGAAAGTAGCCGTTGGGGTCGAATTCCCGCGAAACTGCTACTGACCGAACGTTGAATTGTCCTGACCGGACACGTCCGGTCATCCCGACCGTTGAGCCGGCAAAACACTGATCGGACGCTGTCCAGCGTCCAGTCGCCTGCCACCGGACGCGTCCGGTCATAGATTTGCCGCTTTGGAACCTTACTGTAATCGATCGGACACTGCGTTCCTGCGTCTGGTCGATTGCCGCCAGCGTCCAGTCCTCATGTCCGGTCGCCTGTCTGCCGAGCCACCGGTCCAGCGTCCGGTCGTCCTTCCAGCGTTCGGTCGCGTCTGCGAGCTCGTTTCTTCATGATCTTACGTACGGCTTGGTTCCTAACTTTATGCTTGGACTTTGCTTGATATCTTGGGTCTTTTCTTGTGCTCCTAAGGTCTTGCTTAAGGTGTTGATCATCGGATTATCATGTCGCCTTCGTCCAAGTCACGTCTTGCACCCTATTGGACTACAAAGCAAACACTTGCAAATTCATTAGTCCAATTTGGTTGTGTTGGTCATCAAACACCAAAATCCAAAGTAAATGGGCTTAGGGTCCATTTTCCTTACAATAGAAAGGCTACCAATTCTGCTCCTGATCAAACTAAGCCCGAGAAGAAGGTGTTCCAGTATAAATAGGTTCTACAGAAGCCAAAAGAATTAGTGTGCGGCACTATGAACAAATATGCATACCAACCAAAGTTTCAATCACCTCGACAAAGCTTGACTTCGTGTTTTGTTTTAAGGAACAACAGCGGTGAAAAAGTGGTTGCCAAATATATTGGAAAGAAAGCCAACACATATATGAATACTTCTATTTGGGTTTCTAAATTTCTTGTAACTAACATGCAATGCCCCAAGTCAAATTGGGGACTTAAATCAAACAATTAAATCTGTTTTGCAGGCATACTCCTCCGGTGGATCAAGTTGGGTGCTTGATAGTGGATGTACAAATCATATGACTAGAGAAAGGAGTATGTTCTCATCATATATTCCGAAGATGGACTCAAATAAAAATATTCTCTTTGGAGACAACTCTAAGGGGATGTGATTGATCTCGATAAAGTTGCTATAACCCTTGAGCATTCAATTACAAATGTTTTACATGTTGATTCGTTAGGTTACAATTTGTTGTCCGTCTCTCAATTATGTGAGATGGACTTTAATTGTCTCTTTACGAATAAGGGTGTGGAAGTCTTTAGAAGGAGGATTCCTCTATTATCTTTACAGGTCATTTAAAGAACAAGCTTTACCTAGTTGATTTCAACAAAAATAAAGCTAATCTTGAGACTTGTTTAGTGGCAAAATCTAGCATGGGGTGGCTTTGGCATTGCTGACTAGACCATGTTGGGATGAGGAACTTGGCTAAACTTTAAAAGGATGAACACATCCTTGGGCTAACAAATGCTCACTTTGAGAAAGATAGGATATGTAGCGCTTATCAAGCTGAAAAGCAAGTTAGCGTACCTCACCCACCAAAGAGCATCATGACCATGACACAACCATTAGAGCTCATACACATGGATCTCTTTGGACCAGTCGCCTACCTAAGTATCGGGGGTAACAAATATGGTCTTATTATTATTGATGATTATTCCCGTTTCACTTGGGTATTTTTCTTGTTTGATAAGTGTCAAGTTAGAGACAAAGTGAAGACTTTTGTTAGAAGATCTCAAAAGGAGTTCGGTCTCCCCATCAAGAAAATGAGAAGTGACAATGGGACCGAATTCAAGAACACCCAAGTTGAGGAGTTTCTTGATGAAGAAGGCATCAAACATGAGTTATTAACTCCATACACCCCTCAACAAAATGATGTAATAGAAAGGAAGAATCGTATACTAATTGACATGGCAAGGACAATGCTAGATGAGTACAAGACACCGGACCTCTTTTGGTGCAAAGCCGTCAACACCGCTTGCCATGCCATCAACCGTCTCTACCTACACAAGAAGTTGAAGAAAACTTCATATGAGCTTCTAACCGGTAACAAACCAAAATTGTCCTACTTTAGAGTGTTTGGGTGCAAGTGTTTCATACTTAATAAGAAACCCAAAACCTCTAAGTTTGCACCAAAAGTTGATGAAGGTTTTCTTCTTGGTTATGGATCAAATGAGCATGCCTATCGTGTTTTCAACAAAACCTCCGAGAGAGTTGAAATAGCGGTAGACGTGACATTTGATGAATCTAATGGCTCTCAAGTAGAGCAAGTTGATTCAAGTGTTGTAGGAAAGGAGGATCCACCATGTG